CTGCTCATCCCGGGCAGGAGAGGTGCACCCTTACCTAGCCCGGTGCCACATCAGCGCCGCCGCCCCCTCCCTCGCTGTCACACACCCTCGCCGGAAAAAAACTCTCCTCTCGCCCGCTGCAAGACAAGCACCCTTTTGTTCGGGGAGAAAGCACCCACCTCCCTTCGGCTGCACACATGCAAACCCCGGCTGCCTAACTGCAGGAAACGTCCCTCCTTCCACCGACTGGGTGTTCAAATTTAATGCGGTTAAGAAATCGGTGTAAAAAAAATCACCCTTCCGCACGCGAGGTCTTTGCCCAACCCTGCAAAGTGTATCCACAAGATGGTCCGGGCTGGAAAGACCCTCGCCCCAAGAGATGATGCAGCCCCAGGGTTGATTTTCTCTGCCGGGGGTCGCACTGCTGCAGGAGGACCATCGTCAGCACTGCTACAGCCCCGGTGCAGCTCCAGACCCTGGGACACGCTCAGGGTCACAGGCAGGAGCCAGCGCCAGGTCAGTGCTCGCACACCTCTCCCCTCGCACGGTGACCGCACAAGCAAGGCTGCAGCGATGCCCTCGAGTCCGGCAGCGTTCACCCCCACACGCAGGCAGGTACCATCCCCCCGGTCCGGGGATGCCGTGTGGTCAGACCCTCTGCCACGTGGGGTGACCATCTCAGAGCAGAAAAAACGGATCCTCCGGAGCTTTAGCCATGACGAAACATGTCTCCCCGTCTTTCCTTCCCAAAACAACACTGCTCTTACCTGGAGGCTCTCAGCGAACAAGCTGGGGTGAATATTTGGGCTCTGTCTTTCTTGCACATGGGGAGGACAGGATGGGAAACGTCTCTTCCCCCATCCAGCCGAGCGTCCAGCAGATTTGGCCACACGTTAGAGCTGCTGGGAATTTGAGCTCATTTCGGGATTCAGTAAAACCTTAATCTACAGCATAATCTCTGAGCATCACATCTGTGCAAGAGAGAAAAAAAATGAAGGGGGAGGCTGCTAACAGAGGTTTTGTAAAAGCAGAGGCTGCTGGTTGATGCCGGCTGCTTTCGGCCTGATGGTTTGCTTGGGGTTTTGGAGGTGTTTGAAGAGGCTCGCTGAAACTCAAGGAGCTGTGCAGTGCATGGGAGATCTCTCCCTCTGTTCCTGCTGCTGTCTCCTGGCCATGGAAAGCAGGGACCTTGCTCCGTTGCCCTCGGCAGAGGCTCTGCAGCTTTCGGAGGGGTCTGCGGGAGGGAGCCCCTCGAGCCAGGAGAGAGGGAAGGGGCTGTGTCGAGAGAGCCTGGGCTGGACCACACGCTTTCCTTTGGGGCCCCCGTGAGCTCCCGCTGGCGCACACCCCCGCAGCACAGTGTGACGGTGTCCCCGGCTCAGCATCCAGCACATGGATCAGGCGAGGCTCCCAGAGATGGGATTGTGACGGTGACACAGTCCTGTGGATTTGCATCCTGAATGCCCACACGGACCCTCCCAGACAGGCAGACACGGGAGCCTTTACCACGTGGGGACACCAAGACCCTTCCTTCCACCTCCCCAAACACCCACTCACATCCCACACGGGGCAACTTATTACCCTGACGTTCAAACAGACAAGTGCATCATGAAGACCCCCCCCTGCAGTACTGCGTCCAGCTCTGGGGGCCCCCGTACAGGAGAGACATGGAGCTGTTGGAGTGAGTCCCGAGGAGGGCCCTGGAGCACCTCTCCTATGAGGACAGGCTGAGAGAGTTGGGAGTGTTCAGCCTGGAGAAGAGAAGGCTCCGGGGAGATCTAATTGCGGCCTTCCAGTACCTGAAGGGGCCTACAGGAAAGATGGTGAGGGACTGTTCATCAGGGAGTGTAGTGACAGGACAAGGGGGAATGGGTTCAAGCTGAAGGAGGGTCGATTTAGATTAGATGTTAGAAAGAAATTCTTTACTGTTAGAGTGGTGAGGCACCGGAACAGGTTGCCCAGAGAGGTTGTGGAGGCCCCATCCCTGGAAGTGTTCAAGGCCAGGCTGGATGGGGCTTTGGGCAACGTGGTCTAGTGGAGGGTGTCCCTGCCCATGGCGGGGGATTGGAACTAGATGATCTTTGAGGTCCCTTCCAACCCAAACCATTCTATGATTCTGTGATAAGTTGGGGACAAGAAACTGAACACACTGAACTCCTTGGGCTGGACGGGGGACAGGACCAGCCCCATTTTCCAGTTCCTCCCCTTGTCAAGGAACTGGGGTTAGGGTAAGTCAAAGCATGCCGTGTGTTCTATGTCCTGCAGGGAAGGATGCTGCTGCTACCTGAAAACCAGCATCCCAAACCCAGCACGTCCCGGTGCCGACTCACTGGAGCTGCACAGGGAGGCACAGGGCAGCACCGGCTGCTGAGTTACCCTGGCCCCACCAGGAGCAGATATTTCCAAATCCCTCCTGGAGATGGTAAGCAATCCCCTCTCAGCTGGGAGGGGAGGACCAGCCCCTCGCCCAGGATGGACCAATGCAGCCTGCAGCCCTCACAGCTGATGCAGAGCGGGTTTGGACCCAGGGTGAACACCCTCACCGCAAACATAGCATCACCCAAAAAACCCAAGCACCATAAAGCAGCCACTGAGGCCCAAAGCAGGGCAGGCCCTCTGTGCCACCTCTCTCCCCGTCTACGAGAGCCGAATCCTCCAACAAACTGATGGCGAGGTTTCCTTTGCCGTCGGTAAGCGATGTCTCACATCCTCTCCGACCATAATGGGCTAAAAAACACAGTTCCCCTGTGGATTCAGCCCATTTCCTTCTATTCTTCAACAGGAAGCTCTGCGAGAGTCAGCCCAGGCAGGCAAATCGCTCCTCACCCTCTCGTCCCTCCCGGGATGGACAGAGCCTTAGCGGGGCTGCAGAGCCACAAGCCACCGAGAAGATGCTGGCTCCGTCCGTCCGTCCACTCCTCTGGCTGTTCGGCTGCGTCCTGTTCCGAGGTAAGATGCTCCGCTCGCGCCCCAGGGAGGGGGAAGCGGTGCCGGGCAGGGGGGATTTGGGGAGCACGGCACCAAAGGGAACCGGCCAGACATTCAAACACGTAGTAGCTGCCATCGGAAGGCTCAGCCTTTAAATCCAGGAGTGGCAGGAGTCAGGTTGCTCAGAAAAATGCAGCTGTACCAGGTTTATGGGGTTTATTTGACGGTGCTGGAATAAAAGAACCTGTTTCCTGGATAATAAAAGGAGTGTTTCCACTGAGGGTTGCGATGCTGAGGCGTTTTGTAGTAAGTGACTTGTCAAATAAGCGTAAAGGTAGAACATTTAAATGTACAGTATATTATTTTGCTCAAAGGTATTTTTTCCTTGGCTGACTTTAATTTTTCCTCTTGTCGATATAAATACAAAGACCATGTGTAAGACTCACGCAGAACATGCCTCCTCCTTATTGTAATAATTCTGCTCCTCTGTGATAATTCTGCTTTAACTTCTCTTTCCCACGTGAGTCGCGGCGTGGGATGAAGGAACCGGTTTCCTGCTCTGAAGGGTGACAGGTTGTTTTTTTTTTCCTGCATCGTCAGGCACCTTTTGCATTGCTGACAGCTGTAGTTAGTAGCTAGGAACTGAAAGGGAATACAGACTGCAACATCGTCGCTGATTCTAATAGACCACCACCTAAAAATAACGTGTCTCTAATCCAAAGTTTTTATCATTAAACCACAGAAGTTGCCTATGGGTTACAGAGACCGTGCTGGTAATAACGTGATTTTTAAAAGGCAGAGAATATAGAAACCAATTCAGTTAGTAGCTGCGTAATTCTGAGAAATAAGAACACATGGACTGGAAAAGTTGTCTCTTCATTAGGGGTGATGCTGCTGGCTTCAGCAGAGGGGTGACCTGGTGCCTGGTCTCAGACAAAGGGCTTTCAGGCCCCTTGGCCATCCCACAACGCTCCTTAATGCCTGCCCAGAACGTTGTTTTTCTCTTAAAACTACTCGGTATGGTTTGCACGGGACAGGAACGCCGCAGAGGCTGTCAGCCACCTTCTCTGGCCCAGCTGCATCGCCGAGATCCAGCCCCCTGCCCGGCACGGGACCGCCGGCTGCTCTGCCCCAGAGATTTACCTGCCGCCCTCCGGTCCTGAGCGCATCGCTTTGTCCTCCGCAGTCTGCTTATTAAAATCACGGGGCAGGGCCCGTTCTCGCTAGATGCGTGCCTGGCAGCTCGCGCCGGACCCCGTCGCGGCCGATGCCTACAGACGGCGGTAACGGCGTTGCTGGTGCTCGCCGCGCATCAGCTCACGCGGCGGTTCCACCTCTCCGGCTGCCATCTAAACAACTGGCCTTAACCGCTGTCGTGCACTCTGGCTCACTTTTTTTGCATTGATCCGACAGTTCTGAAATGGCTTTTTTAATTTTATAGCGAAGTCACTGAGGTGGTGTAGTACTTGGCCGGGGGGTGGGGAAGCTTCTGCACGAGGCAGAAGAGCTCAGAGGTCTCCCTGCACCTGAGGAGGAGGAAACAACATTGCAGGAGAAATGGAATTTGCTTTAGCTGGAAACTCATACCTGCTTGTTTCCACACAGGATTTTTTTTTTTTTTTGGTAATTATTTTCTTTTACTTTATGAAAGTTCATTAATTTATTAATGAATTTATTATTTCTTAATTTAAACTTCTAAGCTCTCACGGTTATTTCTAAATGAAGGTTCAAATACTGTTATTTTGAAATAACAGTGGGAAGGTTTGGAATATTTCCAACCTGGTTTTCCTACCCCAGAAACACTTAACAGAAAATGTGTCCAAACAAACCTCTTCCTATGAGCCGTTTCCATTACAATGGGCAGGCATTTTCCAGACAAAAGATTTCCACTCAAAAATTCCTCCTCAAAGCTGCAGAGAACCCAGCAGGATTTTCCCACTGTCGTTCCATCCACTGCTCTCCTTATCTGCGCCACAGCCAGTGGATGGATAACACCACGAGAAGCACAGTAGCTTGAAAACATATAAATATGTCGATATATATGTTTGATATAATCAAAAACACGGGGTGCAGCTAGAGGACAGACATTGACCTACCAGGAGACCTTCCAGACACAGCTCTTGCATCCTTAAACCAGGGCATCCAGCGCATCCTAAAACTGATTCCTTGGCCAACAGAGAGGTCAGCACAACCCTGACCTGGTGAAGAAGGAAGAGAAAGCAGGAGGTGGTTAGGAGAAATGTTTGTTCACAAAACAAACTGCTCCCTTCTAGTAACACAAAACCCCGCAGATGACTCTGCAAATCTGACCAAAGTGGCCCAAGACAGTTTCCAGGAATTATGTCCCATGTACAATAGGTGAGTCAACAACAGGTGTCCTTGGAGGGGACAGTCCTGGTAACCCAACGCCAGGAACGCTGCTGCTGGCAAAGCCAAGGCATGGGCTTAAGCCTAAGGATGGAAAAGGGAGATCTGTGTCTTGCATAGCACCAGCAAAATGCACAACTGCCAAGCCTTGGCTTGGAGGTCTCGTTACTCCCCCGCCCAGAGTAGCCCGCTCAGCGTGGCCCAACAACCCCAATGAGGAGGAACCTCCCATTCGGTCTTTTTTGTAGACTTATGGGCTGGGGGAGCTGGTTTTACCTTTCAGCTGAATCATCCCAGCACAGCAGAAAGGAGCAAAGTCTTATCTAGGATCTCTGGCTGCTCTGGTGTTTGGAGATATAAAAGTTTCAAGGAGACTTTGCCCCTAATGCTGGTAGCTGGTGAAACTTCCTACAAACCTGGTGAAACATGGGGGATGCAGTTAAATGCCTTACCAGCAGTTGGATTTCACAGGTTTGGGAGAATCTTCTTACCCCTCGCTGGTGAGGAACCACTGGCTTGGGACCCAGTTCCCCGAGATCAAGGTTTTGCTGGTCTGGGGCATAGGGATGGGACAGGGACATCATAGAACAGAAGAAAAGGTAGTGTCTTGGGCTTGCCACCCTACGTAAAGAGGAGGCATTGGGGACAGCCATCACCGGTTCTGGGCAAGAGAGGGGATGCAAGGTGGGTCTCCTCTACCTTTCCCACCATCATCAGGCACAACTGCAGACTCTGCACGCTCCCGAGGGCAGCACAGCTCTGGGCAAGCAGCTCCAGTCATACGATTCAATGAGCTCCTCTCGTACGTTACCTAGGAGTGACTCTGGAGTTGCTAAAGATCTTGGAATCACACTGAAATTAGTGTGATTAGAAATGAGGGAGAAACGTGTCACAGCTGACTGCACCGGATGGAGACAGGGGACACAGGCTTTGTGTCTGCCACTTATCACAGCCACGTAACACTCCTGTGCCTTGTCTTCCCTAGATATGAAATAGGGATAATAAGATAACCTCTTCCATAAAGTGCTTTGGAATCTGGGAGTAGAACCTAGGTGATATCACCAGGGTCACTCACCTAAAATCTGGACTCAGATGAAGCTTGTCAGGCCAAGATGCTTTACCTGCTCTTCAGCTGCCGCTTCTGCAAGACTCAGCACTTGACTGCACCCAGGCAGGGATGTCCTTCAGCCACTCCCCCGGGGTTCAAGCCAGGAGACTTAAGAAAAGTGGAAGTAACAGGAATTACGAGAAACCCCTGTGCCACCAGACCCTTACACACCTGAATCACAAGGGTGGAGCTGAACAGATCCCAGCAGATCCTGCATGGTGGTTCTTGAACACCGCACGGCCTGGCTGCTACTAGCAACACCCAAATAAACCTGGGAAATCTTGGAATTACTGGAAAGAACAATAAATTTGTGAATAAACTTGGAAACGGTAGCACAGAGCCTCCATGAACTTGGGGGAAGCAAGACGTGTCTGGTAGGCACCTACCGCTGATCCACCACGTCGGCTGTGCTGCTGCAGGGGATGGGAACACGTGTGCTGTCACAGGGCTCTGCAGATGCCTCTCCAGATCTCCTCCAGCAGCTGGAGGACACGACTTTTGGAGCAAAATCATACAAATTGACGAGGACTGTGGCCTGTACAACGGCAGGACCTTGGCTGGTGGCCTCATCCAGGAGTGGAAGCAGCACTGCAGAACCTGCCTGCAACTCGGGATGCTTTCTCTGCACCTCAGCTTCCCCATCTACAGAAAACAAAGCAGAACTAACACTACCCCTCGCCTCTGTAAAGCGCTTTGAGATCTGCTGATGAATAATATTATTTAAAAAAAAAAAAAAAAAGTAGGTTGACAAAAAGCACACGCTTGCTTCCAGCTCCCATCAAGCCTGGATGGCTGGTCCCCCCATCTTTCATTTGAACTGGGCACAGGGTGATTTCCTCCTCCAAACCCCCAGACCCAGGTCAAACCGTAGGAGCAGCAGAGTCAGGAGAAGGGCAGGACCCACCGCACCAGCACTACAGGGACCAGGAGCACATGCAGAGCGCTACAACAAGCAGGTCACGGAGGAAACTGGAACCAGTAAGCAGCTGGGAGGGTGACAGCACAGCAGCCTGATGGAGCAGACCAGGAGCAACCACTTTTCGTGGGAAAACCAGACCTCAGCACGCACGGTGATGTGGTGGAGCCCGCTCCGTGCATGTGGTTTCCCCACATTGTTTGTCTCCTGGCTTGTTTTCTACATTCAAGTGGGTTTTAATTGACTTCTGCTAAGACCTGCTTCCAGAACAGCTCACCAGAGAGGAGCACAGAGCGCGATGCTCAGAGAGGATGCCCAGAGCTGGGTGCAGCCCTTGAGGAGGGGCAGAGGAAGGCTAAGATTAATTTTAATTGCTGACAAGATCCGGGTTTAATTCCTGGCTCTATCAACTTTCCGTAACACTTTGGCCGAGTCATTACAATTCAGAACCACTTGGCAGCGAGCTGCCAACCCCCCCGCGTCATTTGGGAATTAGATGCTTAAATACCTCTGTGATCTGGGACCTGATTTAGGCTGTCAGTTACCCAGCCTGCATAACAACACTTTTCCTCTCTCTCCTGCCCAATTTCCACCTTACCCGTTCTGCTGCGAGACACTCAAAGCAGAGGCACCTTTTTTAAGTGCTTAATAAAATAGGACCTAGGCTTTTGCAGAGCTCTCTGCTTTCTGAGTTTCTTAATACGGCTTTTTTTTTTTTTTCATGTGAAAGTCCTAAGAATTGGGAGTTGTTGCTCCCTGCTGCTTCAACAGCTGCTGTGCTTCACCCAGGAAGCAGCTGCACTTGTGTTAAGCGGTCGGTATATTTTTGTCATGGGTCATTTGACGGAAGTGCCAATATATGAATTGAAAAGTCTAATTTTAGGTGGCTAGATCTCTTTTCTGACAGCATTTGTTTATGCAACCTGCAAGCAGAGGGTGATGCGGAGGTTGGTACAGCAAGGCTGCGCAATGCCACGGGCTCTGCAGCTCCATGCCGTGCAACGCACAACCTGGGGACAGGTAGGGCATCACCACATCTTCCCCCAAAACTGCCAGGGCAGGAGGAAAGTCCAGCGAGTCCAGGGTTACACGGCATTGGGGATACACAGTCCCTCTCCATCACCAGTTCCAAGTGGACAGGACAAGTCTCAGTGCCTTCATACTGGTGCCGGAGATCCTCCCCTGTGATTCCATCCCCCTGTGAACACGGACTGGATGGCACGAGCCCTTCTTGAGTCTCGTCTAAGCCCTGCCAAAGAGATTCCAACAGCTGGCCCAGGTCTCTGCTACAGGAGAGCTGCTGCACGGAGGCTCTGATGTAAAGTCTGGGGTTCTTTAAATGTCAGTGTCTCTCTTTGGTCAGCAGCTGGAGAAACCACTCTTTACATGTCTACGATTGCCAAAAATAACATCAAAGCAGAAGTACCTAAAATTCATCTCTTTTTTTTTTTTTCATTTTACATTTTCATTCTCTTTTTGTGCTGAGGAGTGAGCAGGGTGAGCTGCTGGCTCTAGGAACATCTCGGCTGCCGTGAGAGAAGGCTCCATGGAAAGACCCCTCTGCTCTCCGTCCAACACTCACACCTAACCTAGAAGAACTATTGCAAACAACAGAAATCCAAAATTCCCTTGCTCACCCTCTGGAAAAATTAACCAAAAAGCAGCTAACGCTGAGTCAGAGCTGAAACACACCTGCAGTTCCAATGCGCTCCTCTGGCTCTGGTGGGTAATCAGGAATTTCCCATTACAGCAAGAGCAGAAAGCCATATTTCCCATCATAAATCCCTCAGCAAGCTACCCGTCTCCACCTAGAACTGCACAATCCGGCTATAAATCCCTTGCACCCAAACACACAACAAATATCTTGGCAGAGCTTACGCTCAATGGCGAGCCGTTTGAATGGCTTTGATGTTTATTGCAATTACAGCTGCGCTGGCTGAGTCTTGATTATTATCGTGAGCTGTTTATATAGCCAGGGCCCTCCGTGGAGGGGAGCAGGGCCGTGCTGGCAGAGGCACCGGGAGGAAGCCGTCTCCAGCACCGTTTGCACGAGAGTCCCCCGGGGACGTCGGCAAGGAGCCACGACGCGTGGCGCTTTTTTGTTTGTACCCATCCTGCTGCCCAGCCCCGCGGCGTGACTCGGGTCTCTTCCTGCCTTGCACACGTCCATCCTTCTCCGCTGTAATTCCAGCGGGATGCTAAGCACCTTCACCAAAAGAAAACACCTAATATAACAGGACTTTTGATTATTTAAGTTGGCAGAGAAGGCGTAACAAGCGGCGGTGGCCAAAAGTCAGAGCCAGACCTGCTCCGCTTTGAAGTAACAAGCAGTCGTGTTTAGAGAAGCCATGGCCATTTATTCCCGAGCAAAGTGCCAAAAGGGGATCTCCATCCCTTGGTCACTTCTCCGCAGCAAAGCTCAAACACAGCAGACCGGGGCAAGCATCTACTCGGCCAGATGAACTCCCGGGACTGAGCACTGAAAAAAAACCCAAACCCTGCTTATTCATCTTATTTACAATAACCCCACAGTTTAGTTTTGCAAACGGAGAACTCCATACGAGCCAGTGGTCTGGGTGCGACCTTCAGCGAAGGGCTGAGCTGTGGTGGAAGACAGCATTGAGTACAATCCTCTTCCTCTTGTCCCAGCGCCGGGGATGCTGGAGCTAGCCCAGGGAGGGTCCCATCAGGGAGGGCAGTACAGGGCAATGTCATCTCCCTTGCTCTCAGCTTCTCCCCATCCCTAGAGGCTCTGTTCAAGCTCTCAGATTTCTCCTCAGCTGCACCAAAAATGCTGGAACAAACTGCCAGCTCAGCACCTTTATCCCCCTTTTCCTTGACAAAGACTAAGTGTAGGCAACAGCTCGCCTTTCAGCGATTCTTGATGCTTTCAGGTGCCATGTAGGCTAAAAAGCACCTGTGATAATTCTGGGAAGAAAATGTGTTACAAGCAGCTACTTCTCCCCACGGGAAAACAAGACAATGGCTTCTGCAAGGGAATTTTGGAGAAAGAGGAGCTGTTTGAGTTTGGCAGCTGCTAGAGGATATCGGCCCCCATGATGATCTCAGCACATTAATTTTTGTGCTGAATGTACAGAGTATCTTAAGGCATTTGCAAACAAATGTCCAGAAATTGTGTTGTAAACAGCCACATGCACAAAAGAACTATTTTTCTATTATATTAGTTGATTTGGTAAGTGATGTTACATCTGTCCATGATCCTGTCTACGTTACTAGACTGATGCTCATTTAACCTGCTCTTCAAAACCCGCAGAGAAGGATATCCCGTAATTCTCCTACGCAATCACCCCTAGCAACTCACTATCCTTACGTTAAGGCAGTTTTCTGTTGCCCAGCCTCCCCTCTTCCTTGCTGCAGTTAAAAGTCCTTGTCTTCTGGTCCTGTTACCAATGGATTTAGAAAACAAATTAGTCCCTTCCTCTCAAAGTAATTAATGATCTGATCATGTCTCCTCTTTCATGGACCAAACAGGACAGTTTTGCCAGCCTGCTGCCCAGTAAGCTAGAAGAGAAAAGCATGGAAAAGCTCTGAAAAGTCAGGTCTGATTTTCACAGCCAAATCCTATCTGGAAAGAGGCCATGTTTTATTATGTATTCACCGTGGTTTACACATTGTTTTGGTTCCTGTTTGGCTGGGATCATTGTCATAAAGCCTCAGACAAAAAACAAACAAACAAAAAAACCCCCACAAAAACAAAACAAAAAAACCCCCAACAATTACAGCTCCAACGCAATTACATGAGAAAAATGAGATCAATCGGAGCTCGCTACACCCAGACAGTCCCAAGCGGTGGGCTCTGAGCCAAGCCCCCGTAACCCACATACACCGGATGCTAAAGATCTCAATCCAGATGCACACCACTATCAGGGCCTTCACCTGACCTCTTTCACACACCTACAGCCTAGGTTCCTACCATGAAAGTCATCGCCTACATCGCCTCTACGGCTCCTGGTAAGAAATGGTATTATAAATGGGTGCACAAGCACTGCTCTGCTCTGGCTAGCGCTCCTTTGCTGGATCTCCCCTCCTGCCACCCCATGACGAGGTGCAGCATCCTGCAAAGGCTCTGCCCCTCATCACAGAGCACTGCCACAATGGAGCTGCACAGCATTGCAAGGGGTCAGCGAGCTGGAAGGATTCACCCTTTATTGCTGGCCCTCGCAGACCGAAACTCTTAGGAGCTGTTGGCTCTGGTGAGATGGATCACCGGTGGGATCAGATCCAGCTGTTTTCTGTAGCTGTAATGTAGTTTCTTTCATTAATCTTACTACAGGCAGCACCAGGATTACCAGAAACAACCATTTAAAGATACCAGTTAGGACACACATTTCCAAAACAAGACTCAAAGTCACCTTTTCAAAGTTAAACCAGTTGGGTTTGATTTGAGCATTTAAAGTGTATCTACATTTTCCGGTTCTTGCCCCCAAGTACCGGAACTGGGCATGTCTTTTCTCCATTATTAAATGGCACCACTTTTAATTGACATCTCATCTAATCACAGGACTGTAGGAGCTGGTGCTTAAAGAAAAACACCAGGGATCCTGAGAGCAGGCAACATGGGGGATTGGTACAGGGATGCTTTCTCATAAATCCAAAACAAAACAAACAAACAAAAAAAACCCCCAAAAAACACCTTTCAGTTGAGAAATTAGGGACTCAGTGGAACATCTACAACCCTGGCAGAGCAAAGCCCTGCGTGGACCTACAGGACTACCCACCACTACCAGGGAAGGCAGTTCAAGGTCAGTCCCCAGGCTGCAGCCCCCAACAGCCCCCCTGCTCTGTCCAGACTTAGATGGCCACCAGGCTTCAGCCAGCTTCCCAGGATGCAAACGCATGGGACAGAAGGATCAGAGGTAGGAGACAGGAAGGAAAAACAGTCCCATCAGCTCCTGGAAGCCTTTACAAACCTCATCCATCCACTCATTAAGGTCTCAAGGGAACAAAGTGTTCAAATGTGTGTTTTAACTCCTTAAACAGCTCCAGAATACAGATCAAACTGCCTTCCCCACCAAGACTGAGCTGGAGGCAAATGGGTCATGGGCAGGGAACGACTCCACTGATTTACAAGCCTTGCATTTTCCCTGTGAGAGAGGAGGACGGCTCCCTGAAGGGTTCAGCTCCATCTGGGGAGAAGGGCATTTGTCCTGGCTGAATAAACTCCAGGACTAATTTACATAGAACCTGATAGCTTTGCACTCAGTGTTTGCAGCTACTTCTTTGCTAATGCTTTTGGGGAAATCACGTATTTCAAAGTCATTCCTACAGAAGATGAGGAAAACCCAGACCACGCAACCAGCTGGAACACCAGTGCGTTAGTGACAGCCACAGATCAGCACCGCTAATACTCTTCTTCTCTCATTTCAGGTACTACGGCCTCCACAGAGTCCTCTGTGCACGCTGTAACAGGTACCTCCTGGGTTGTGATCTGCTTTATACGTCTCCTTAGCATCTCTTGCCCCCATCACCCTTTCAGCTCTTACTGTCTATAATAACCCCTTTCTGACCCATCTTTCACCCCTCCCTGTAGGGATCCTGCCAACAAGGAGCACGTGTAGGAGACATCACCTCCATGTCTCTCCGCTTGTGTTACAGGTCAATCCCAATCAACAATGCACAGCCCTGAAGTAAAGAACCATACCTCAGGTAACGCTCATCTGGAGACCTAAGAGTGTATCTCAGGGGCATCTTGGCTTGCAACTGTTTTGACCTTCGGTCCAGCTGGGCCATCCAGCAATAAATGGGGGCGTGCAGTGGCAGGTTAGATGACACCAGTGGTGGGGAAGAAAAAAAAAGAAAAAACACTAAATTGAATAGGGAGAAGCAGGGTCAGCAGGTCACCACCCAGGGAAAACCCCAGGCTTTACACCTTGTGCGCACGAAGGATGCGACTGCCCGGAGCCCAGGCACGGAGCCAGGCTGGGCGGTGTCCACGTTGCGGCATCCTCCTACCTGGCATCACCTGCTTTGCTTGGCAGCTCTTCCGCGCGAGGACCCCTGGGTGTGCGCGGTACGTGCAAGCACAGCGCCTCGCACGCCAGGTCTGCCCTTGGCTCCTGGTGTCGTGACGGAAGTAACAGCAATGAAGTCATTGTTGTAAGAGCTTCCCTGTGTCACATTTACTCTTCAGTACTGCTCTCTTAAGCCTGACCATGGTTTATTTGGGTTTTTTTAACTAAAAGCTTCCAGTGCTTTGCACACCCTGAACACCTCCCATACAACAGGTCAACACGTTCCCCATTTGTCCAAGAGGAGAAGGGGAAGCGTGGAGAGGCTTGTCCTACACTGCACAACGTTTGTGTCAGCACAGGGACTGAACGCTGCCTTAGCTCTAATTCAGTTCTTCATGTCCGGGGTTTTGCTTTGTTATCTACCTTCATGGAAACAGCAATCACTCATAAGGACAGAAAAATATTTAAAAGTATGAACCTCTAAGGAGTTCCCTTACTTTGTTCTCTTTTTTTCTGTCTTCCTCCCGTGCTGAAACTGGCTTCAGGACACCAGCACGTGCATGTGGTCACAGAGATGCCCTGGAAGTGGGTGCAGGGAGGCGTTAGCAGAAAATTACATGTTTCAGTCTGAATATACACACAAAAAACCCCCATATACACAAGACAGGATCTCTCCGAGTCCAGATCCACATCTGTCAGCCCACTCGGATCTCTGGAGACAGATCTCTTCCTGCTATGTTTGGGGGCGGTGGGGGAGAAATCTTTCTAAGCATAGCTACCCCTCCAAAGGGACCCCAAAAATATAAAGGGAAAAGATCTCAGATTCTGCTTCCATGCCTTGCAGAAAAAAGAAACGTATTCTTAAATTCAAATATTTTGCTGAAGCATCTGGATAAAAGGTAAAAAAAAATACCCACCTGAATCTTAAAACCATTTTCACTCTTTTCTCATTTTTATTGGAAAGCCAAGAGAAGTCTAGACAAGGAACTTGCCTATAAATTCCAAGCTGTCAGAGTGTTTATTGAAAGCTTTTTCCCCCCACATCTTAATCTCGATCATGTTCTTGCCCTGCAGCCCTGAGTAGCAGGTTGAGGAAGATGACAGAGCCTCCAGACCACGGCAAGAACTGAATTTTTTGTGCTTAGAGACTCTGCATGAAATGAAACATAAAAGTTCCCATTTCAGATAACAAGCAAACATGTGGGTGCCAGGCAGCTCTAGCCCATTAAAGTGTCCAGTGATAAAAATACCTTCATTTTCAAAGCAGGGAAAACGTGGTGGCAAAAAGCAAGACTTTCTCCATGTTTCTCCTGAGCTCTGCCAGCTCAGCACCTCTACACTAAAAAAAGCAAAAGCTAATGCCGAAGTACAAGAGCTCCCTGACTCCAAGCAGGACGAAGGCTATTTCCTCGTCTGCTCATGCCCATGTTTTCCCTAGCAGATTATCCATAATTCCCAAGGAGTTTGAGGACTCTTTGCAATAGCCATGCCTTCCTCCAAGCTGTTTCTAAACACAGCTTGTGGTGAGCAGAGGTCTTTGAAGTAACGCTGTGCTTCCTCCACAGAGCCTCCAGTGAAGTCGACACCACCGACCGACTTGAATCTCACCTCTGTGGGTCAAACTACTGCAGCCAGATCCTCTCCTGTTGCTACGACACTGCTAACGTTGACTGCGCGAGGTAAGTATGGAAAACTCAAATTTTTGCTCAGGCAGGACCTGTTTATGCATGCCTCCTTATCCAAGCAAAACTGGGGGCATCAGAAAGACTGGGCTAGTCCACACCATGCTACTTATTCAGTAGCATCAACTTTTGAATCTCTTTGAGTCTTTGCTAAAAGAGCAGCTCGTTCCAGCTCCCCAAAAGCAAAGGGCTGGATGCAACCATGACCCAGACGCGGCAGGTGCACAGCAAGCCCGTATCACAAAAGCCAGATCAGGTGCTACCAGGTAACGTTTTGTGGAGGGGCTACAGGCACCCCAGCCTCCCCAGCAGACCTCTCGTGTACACTCTCCCACTTGACTGCAGAGATCGCTAGCAGGACATCCTGATGTTCATTTGGAGGGGAAGTCTCATGCAAACAAAGCTGTTTTCCCCCTCCATGGAAACCAACAGCTCTCCATAGCAGAACTAGTAGTAGCTTCTAGAGTTAATTCTCCTTTCCCATGTTTTTCTTTATCCAGATGAAAAACCTAGTGGAAGCAGAAGCACAGCAGCTTCACCACCTCAAGGTACTTTGTCCTTTTATAGAGTAAAGATAAGTTTAGGTAATTTCATGGCAATTAGCTTACTTGGCTCACATGGTGCAGGTTATCTAAGTCTTTATCTTGGGATTGAGCCACCAGTAACACCCAAAATCGTGTCTGGTATCCTTACAAGCAGTGAAAAAACACAAGACCAAATGCACTTCACATCGTCTGCCTGGGATGAACCTGAACAGTTGAAAGACTGATCTATGTTTAGGAGAAGGGAGCCCTTTTAACATCCTTTAAAAAAAAAAAAAATGCTTTGCTTTTGACAGTTGCTTAACCCAACTTGTGAGCAAAAATTAGAGACTTCAGTAAGAGTTTTCTCAGAATAAGGGCAGAATCCAAGTGAGTGGGATGATTGAAATCTGACAACTGAGCTGATTCCCCATTAAAGATTCAGCTTCAAAAATCCGCAATGGTCAAGACATAAACTGCTCTGCCTCTCCAAGTATCTCTCAGATCTTCTCTAACGCAAGCAAGGTTAAAAACCCGTGGTCAGCTCTGCCTGCACAGATGTCTAACCAGCATGAAGGTGCCCAGCTAAGCCAAGAGCCTTTTGCATCAGAGCAGGTTGCTATTAATTATAACCCTGCTTTATATCTGAAAAGCTCCGTACATCTTTGACTATAGATATGCTGCTGATGCTTCCAAAAGCGAGGTCTCCTGTTGTGTAAGACCCAACATTTCCCAGGGATGGGGTATCCATGCCAGGCTCAGCAAACCACAGCTTCTGCCCACCGCCTGCGGCTAGAAGAACAATTTCATCACGAAACAAAGGGTTTGATGACTGGTGAAAAAATTGTACAGTGGGAGTCCCTGCTTCTCAGGACTGTTCTGCTCGATGTGGTTACTGAACCAGATAGATCTGTTATTTCATACCTTTTCCCCTTTTTATACCATTTCCCCTTTTTCTTCTGACTTTTGGCAAAATTACATTCTGAAACAATTATGTTTTCTGCAAGACAGGACCCCCACTTTCAGCTGCATGCCCTGCGCCCCAGTGCAGAGTACTTTTGGTCAACACTGGTTTTGGGAAGGTAGGGATGGAACAGGAGGAAAGAAGTTCGTAGCTGACCTACAGATGATCTTCTGAAACTCTAAAGTATCATTTTTAGTCTCCTGACAGGGCCTGTAGCTGTTCGTTAAGGTCAATGCAGATAATCTGGCCATTCGACACACACCCAGGAGGCAGCAAAGGATTTTTTTTTTTCTCTGTACAAGCAAAACACACAGGATAGCTTGGAATTTGCTTGCACAGGCACTGGAAGCAGCTGTCACAAACCAAGCAGCTTCATATAAGCCAGTTCATCCCACTGAGAACTGGAGTCCTTGCTCGAACAAACCTCTACGCTGCCACAGCTAGACTACATATGGCATGCAAGTTAGCCCAACTCAAACTAGCTTAATTACTTCTAGATAACCCAGGACAACATATCCACCAAACCCAAGTCCAAGGACAAGCTGAACAGTCAATCCACACTCATATTCTGCAGAATTTCTTCCCCTAAGCAGATTTTTTTTTAAAGTCTCAACGTTTATGAGCAATAGCAAATCTATAACCTTCCCAGTTTGCTCTTCCAGTATTCCATTGCTGTATCTGCCCAAAAATTGCATCTGGGACTGCAGAACCTGAAGAGTTTATACAAGGGTATTCGAATTTTAGTTCTATTTGGGCACGGAAAATAGTACAAAGTATTTTTGGTGGGAAGGTTTTAGCTCAGGTATGAATTCCGTGTTTTCCCAGGTATCACCAGCATTACTGTGAATCCATTCTCCTCTCTAGGATGCCCATTAATTCTTTTGGTTATTAGCTGACACCCAAGGATAAGACTCACATTCTGCATTTCTCTATGCAGGTCAAGAGCCCAAGACAAGCGAGAGTACCACAACATCAGCAACGCAAGGTGCTTTCTCCTTTCTCTCACAGGGAGATGATTACCGCTAGATATTTTATAGCCCTTTTCACAGGCAACAGCAAGGCCATCACACTGCTATCTTCAACACAGCATGGTGAAGGGCTAACAAGTACCTGAGGGATGCTGGCCATGTCATCTAGCCATTGAAAAGCCTGTAAAGCTTCGCAGAGACAGCACTTTGGGGCAATCTGTCAAGACTGGGAACAGCGGTTGTGAGTCAGAGCAGGAAAGGTGCCATTACGGTGAAAGGTTGTAAAATGAGAGATGGGAGAAGCCTCCCCCTCCAACACAGTGCCAGATCCGTCCTTCACCTGCCAAGCTCAGCTTCGTCACTAGGGCCCCAGCAGAAAACCCTGTGGGTGTTCTCAGACTGTCGATAAAAGGGCCGCACCAAGGCAATCCAATTCCCACACAGGTCTTGGTCACTTTGCAGTTAACATTGATGGGGCCGGGCCAGGATCCAACGGTCTTCTCTTCAGTAAAGTACAAGTGCAAGTTTGGGCCTCTCACATTGCCAGGAATTCTCTTCCCAACCTTGGAAAAAATACTTTTATATAAAGCTACCTTTTTTCTCCTCTTGTAGGCACCTTAAAGCCAGTCACCCCAACACCGAATTCCTCTGGCTACCTGCCTGTGCCCACTCCGACAGATGATAAATCCCCACTGACGGTGGCAGCTTTTGGTAAGGTCTTGTGCTACCTGGGGAGGCAAGGGGGATCTGTTTTGCCAGGTCACATTGTTTTGGACACCCACTTTCAAAGATGCTTCCCTGGAGATGATGACTCCACAGTTTTCTTCTTCAGCGTGCCTGATCCTGGAGGTTTCAGAGTGCAAGGGAAAACCCTTGAGGAAAAAACTTGTCACCAGCAGGCTATAAAGCATCTAACACATACTCCCAGCCATGCCCAGTATACAAGGGACAGACAGTTTGAAAGTCCATCATGGCTACACCTGAGCTTGGGATCTTGCTCCCAGCACCAGTGTTTGCCCCAGCTCCACGTTAGGACAAGACCTGGGCACAAACGATCCCATGCCATGCCTTGCTTTCCCTGAGAGCGTCTAGAATAAATACGCTACTTGCCTGGCAGCTTAGGCAATTTATTTTTTTCCCTGCAAACCTGTTGGGACTTCATTCCCACTCTGCCTTACTGCCGTCCCCTGCACAGTTGCACCCTGCTTGGCAGGACACAGCCAAGTCCTCCACATCCTTCAGACTGTGGAAGGACAGAGCAAGAGATGCCATACCTAACCTGGCAATAGATTTGAAGACAGGCACGGGGCATTTATGATGACAAGCAGAAAAACCAATTTGCTCATTTCTATCACACTATAGGAAAAAAAGTGTTATTTCAGAAGCATTTTTAAAAGTCAAGTGTTAACTTCGTAAGTATCATTTGCTTATATCCTCGCAGGGAAGCCACGAGAAGTCCTGAAGCAGTCTTAACAGGACAAGATTCCTATGCAAAAAATAGTTTGATTTATTAAGGCCAGATGTCAAAATCAAATCTGCACTTGGCCACTGGTTTATGAGACAGATAACATCCTTCACAGTCTTTAGCTTGTCTCTGCCCATTATATTACATATTTATCTGACTTTATACACCTTTATGATAAGATTTACCAACTGTAGCAGGGGCATACTGACTTCAATCAATCCCCTGTGTAATCGGCTGACTTCTGCCCTCCTGGCACTGCCTTACCAATTAAGTATTCATCAGAAGCCCTTTGAGGCTAAAACACAAGAGGATAAACCCATTCGCTCTAGTGACTACCTACCTCTCTGCCCATTACGTACCATGCTCATTTTAATGAAAATACTGATTTCCTACCCAAGTTTTGATGACAAAGTCTCTCTGCTACCCCAGAAGCCGAGGATGGGCACGTTGTTGTATCAATCGCAGACAGTTCTCTCCTCCATCCCCAGGTGTCATCAGCTTCATAGTCATCCTGATAGTGGTTGTGATCATTCTGGTCAGCGTGGTCAGCCTGAGGTTCAAGTGTAACCGCTCAAAGGACTCAGAAGGTATTTGCCTGGGGTGATCTTTTCCCTAATCCAAAAGTCATCTACATGGATGTGGAAATTCCTAAAAGATGTTTTTTTTAAAAAAGCTTATGCAGTGTGGAGGTTTTGAAGCCAAACTGGAACACAGATTCAGCAGCTAGGGATGTAGCGTGACCACGCTCTTTAGAGCCCCAGCCCAGACCCATCTGCACAAGGAAAGTCTCAAGTTTGGTGCAGTTAAATGTGCAGATTACCAGGGGTGGGCAGCTCTTCCAGCAAGAGTCATGGAGTTTGACACTCCTTTTCCTTAGGAATCCCATTTCCCACTAAGCCGTGCCCACTAGAGGGCAAGGCTGCTCAACAGCAAGGCAGTGACTGCCAAAAGACCAAAGGATGCTAGAGCAAAGAATTCAGTCCTGCCTGTATGTCACATTAGTTGAAAAATTTTCTCTAATCAACTGTCAAGTATCCTCCGTGGTGTCTTTAACCTCATTTGGATTTCATTTGTCACCCTGCACAACATAATTCTGAATATAGCTGATTTTAGTGCTTGACTGTGATGTTTTCTCACCTGTACATCACCAACTGCCTTTCTCCCTCCAGACAAACAGAAACCAGGGACCTCCATGGTATCAGAGAGGTAAGGCTGCTCACACTATTCACATCCTATTGAAATTACCAGTTTTATTCATTTTAGCAAGGAAAAGAGGCTGCTTTGGTTATTTCAGGTTGAAGCATTTCAAGACATCTTTGAGACTGGTAAAAAACCAAAATTAGTGTTGACAGCACCTCATCCTCTGCCTGATAGAGTCAAAGATAGAAAGTTCAATATTTAGGAGCCTCGTTTCAAAGCTGCACTGGTATCTGTGAAGACTCATCACCTTCCAAGAGCAGCTTGCTTGACTGTCTTTGCCTAGGTACAGACTTGAGGTCTAAACTTGGGTTTCTGGATCTCAAAGCAGCCTCAGTGACATGAGATCAGGTCTTCTAGCAAAAGCAGGGCAAGGGACCTTTGGAAGATAAGCACCAAGCAGAGGATGGTCCATCTGAACCCCGTGGTCCATCACTGCTACCTAAGAGGGGAGGCTGCACATGGAAAGCAGCAGGAAACAAGAGCTGGAAGGGACCAAAACATGTTGCTCCTACTTTTCCATCTGACAGTTTCCTACCAAAGTAATAAACCCTGCTTTGGAAAGAGGCAAGGGACACAGGAAGCAAAGTCCCTACATATTTAGGCGCCAAATCTGTATCAACATCAATGGTTCCCAAATACCCTTAATGACCATGATCTACGTGATCTGCAGCCACTGAGGCAGGACTATCAGAGCAGAGGACTGTGCCCCTAGTCCCCAAAGTCATCCAGTCTCCGCTGGCACTAAGTCCATATCCCAGCCCTCAGGGTAGGGAGAAAGGGGAATTCCACCTTCCTAATGCTTGTAACTCTCACTCTCAGGAGAGATGCTGGCAATACATCAGCAGCAGCATCGGATGTAGAAATATCTGAGGCTCCCTTTGTATGACAAACAAGGGCATAGGACAGAAAAGGGATGGGCCTGAATCAGGACAGCACCTCGAAGGGCAGCGCAAGGCAACCCTGGTCCCATGTACCAGCCAGCCGCAGTCCTGCCTGCTCGCCTCCAGTTGTGTGCAAAGAAACTTGCCTCTCTCATCTTCCAGAGTAGTTAATGCCACCTTCTCTTCTTGACAGCTGCTCGGCAGGCACAAGCCAGAAGGATAACAGCATCACTCTGATCTCCATGAAGAACATCAACATGAACAACAGCATGAGTTACCCGCCGTCAGAAAAGGTTTCCCCTTTAAGCTTTTTAGAGAGTTAGCTGGGGGTCATTTCTCTTGCTGCATAAGAGCACGCCTTTGAGGTATTTCTTTGCTCTCTTATTCCTTCAGAAAGGTAATTAAAAAAAAAAAAACCCAAAAAACAGCTGCCATCAAACTCCTAAAGGTCCAAACTGGTTCTGGTGAGCCTGGCGAAAGTTCGGGTGCCCATCTCAGGTCTATCCAAGCTGCCTGAACTCAAGGTGTCAAGTATACCTCACACATATAGGTGCCATCACCTAGGACCAGCCATCAGAGCTAGAGTGGTTTGTCATTAAATGAAGAGGTAAATAAGCTAGCCTTAGTAAAGTCAAGGTCTCACCCTCTAGTCCAAGCTTACCACACTCCTGCTCCACAGATGTTGGAGCACATGCCCATCAGTACTCTCAGATCCATTCCATGTGAGTAATTCACATAATTTTAAGTTGATTTAAAGCTAAACTAGCACTGGGGCTGCGCTTGAGGGAACACACTTCTTAACTTCTTTTGCCAGCCCAAACAGGCTGCTGACGCACCATGGTTTGTTCTTTTTGCAGGTGCTATGAAGCCAAGGGACCAGAGCTTGAAGCTGACTTGTGGCAACCAGCAGTGACTTTCTAGGTTCTTTTTGGTTTGGTTTGGTTTTCTTTGGGGAAAGAGCAAGGGTGGACTTTATATATAAATTATTATGTCCTTTCTGATCAATACATTTACAGTAGCATCCCACGTAGCTTCCTCACCTGGGGTCTAAGGGCTTTCTCCAGTGACAGCCTGCCATGCTCAATGGTTGATCTCTATTTTTGATATGCCTTCAAATCCTCAGATTATTCCAGCAGCAAGAAGCACCAAGGAACCATCTGCTTTGCTAATAAACTGCTGCCTTGGATTAATGGCCTTTAGAGTCTGTGCCAGCCAGTCACAGGCTCGTTAATCAGTATAGCCCCACATTGAGTCAAACCCGCCCGTTAGAAAAGCACGATCTGAGGCCGCAGGACTAATGAGATGTAAACGGCCAAGTGCTAGGTCAAATCCCAGTGTCATTGCTCCAAGCCCCCTACCCCTTGGTGCCTCCATTATCCCCGCAGTGGTGGGGATGATCATGTCCACCTACCTCACAGGGTTGTTGTGAGGCTATGTTAATCAATGTCTGTAAAGCATTTGGAGAGCCGTGAATTAAAGGTGCTGCTGAAATGCAAATTGCCATCTTAAATGCTTTATTATTAATAACTGAGCTTCAGGCAGGCAGATCGCTATCTTCCCACAGGTCCAACATGCTCAGAGAAGACTCATCTTCAGTGTATACAACAAGGTCTCTGCACAGACAGGGTTTTATCTGAGTGTAAAAAGGAGCGGCCACAAGCAAAATGCTGAGCTACTCCAGCTCCTGAACTCTGGTAGCCCGAGTTTCCTGGGAGAGCTTCCATCTTCTGTACCACCACTCTCCCAGAGCTTCCTGATAGACCAGAAAAGCAGCATCTCCTTCCACAGATCAGCTAAAGCACTCACCTTACCACAGCACCAAGAACCACCAGTCCATCCCCAAGGTGCCACGATAACAATCCTTCATTAGCCTCCCCACCAGTCCATCCCCAAGGTGCCACGATAACGAGAACAATCCTTCATTAGCCTCCAACGGTGCAACGGCTCACATTTGGAGCTAACTGGTTCACAACCCGAGCCGGCTCAGACCCACTGCCAGTCACTTGTACCACCTATGGCAAAATACGTCCTTACAAAGATGATGGAGACATCAGCCTCCACGCAACTGCAAGAGAAACGATGTGCTGTTGGGGGAGGTCTCAGCTGCTTTATTCAGCAGCATAACACGCTAAAGCACTAACTCTGCAGCTGTCTTTGCCTCTGCCCATCTTCACCATGGCTCCTGCTTGCAAGCTTCACCAGCTCGAGTCAACAGAGGCCTCCAGAGAACTGCCATCTACCTGGCAGTGGTACACTGAGATACTGCCTTCTCCTAACATGAGCATCAACATCCATTGACCCCTGAAGTTAAGGGAAAAAAGATCTAGCCAAGCGCTCAAAATAGGTATCTCTGCACCCGTTTCCTTACACAGTTTGATGAAACATAGTAATTTAGCTTGATTTAACTTTTTAGGATGGATAAGAGGTGTTTACTGGAACGTGCAGTGCAAGAGGTAGCTGTGCTTTGCAGCTGGCAATGAAGGGTTCAGCAAAATAAATGCAACGTTTTCACAACTCCGCTAACATCCAACATACTTTCTGTCTTTAACATGCACACCAGGTAGTTTGATAAGGTATTTTTTTTATTAAATGAAGCTTTTCTGGTAAAACTCCTGAAAAGTAAAAGGACATCACGCCACTCACCCAGCCTCCACCAGATGGGTGAGTTTGCTTAAGCACAGGATCCCCGGTGATTCCTACGCACGTGGATCCAGACAGCTCCAGACCTCAGAGACCTGTGACTCAGTGCGTGGTGCCTCACAAGTAGGTTTTAGTCCCAGGAAGACACCACAAAGGCAGCTGGTAAGCACCTGTGATGTCAGACACTCCAGTAATTGTCAAGCTTTAACTAACCTCCCCTCCACAACCACCTCTGAAAGACAGTCCCATGCTTTATTTTCCTTCCTTTGTGCTCCTCCTTCCCACTGACTCTTAAGACTCTTGACAAATAACCTGAACCTGCTCCGCCCTAAAACTGATCCACATCCAACAGCAAAATTCCAACTTTGACCTTGTTCAAAAGAAAGAATAAAAAAATAAGCGATAGAAGTGACGTAACCCCAAACTTCCATTTGCTGCTGCTCACGTGAAAGGAGAGACCTTCTCCAAGCTGCTGTGCTCCTGCAAAGCACACCAGCGGGGGAAGACACCAACTCCCTCACACCATGACTCCGCTCCTACAGCTCGTTAGCTTCACTTTAATTGGCACATGGGATGAGGAGAAACCAGCAGCGGCAGCAGCAATGCACGAACGCAGCGGGATGGAGCTGCAGGACGAGCCCTCGAGGGGTTTCCAACCAAAGCCCGGCCAGAGGACATGGCGGGCACTTCTCCAGGCTCCTTCCAGCCTCAACACAACGGCTCAAGCCCGTCCCCTGCAGCCCTGCCAAGACAGCGGTGCTGCCAGGAAGGCGCCTTGAGCTCCGAGATCGTGACGCCATTCCCTGAAGCTACCACGCGACTCACAGCGCTGACCTCACACCAGGGACACGCTGCGGTAGGGAGGCGAGCGGCTGAGGCTCAGCCCACACAAACCCCCACCGCAGCCCTGAGCTCGAAGCCGCGCCGCT